CGGAGGAGGGCTGCCGTCGCGTGCTTCTTGAGCCCTGCCTTGTGCAGTTTCTGAAGCTCTCGGTAAAGCTTCTGTAGCTTCCTCCCAGCTTCGGCGAGGCTGGTCGCTGGCTCCCCGAGGGCCTCCGGCGCGCTGCTGTCGGCGTCGCCCGGCGGTCGCAGGTGCTTGCCGAGCACGGGCAAGCTGTGCACCCAGCAAGCCTGCAGCTCTCCCGTGAGCACGGCTCGCCCAGCTGGAGACCAAGCAGCTGTCTTCCCGGAATTCAGCTTTAGCCCGAGGGGCTGGAGAGCCTGTTGCAGGGCTTGCAGTGCGAGAGCAGCCAGCGGAGCCTCCACCACCAGGTAGGAGTCGTCCAGGTAGCTGTACAGCCTCGCCTGTGGGTCCAAGCGGAGTAGCTCCTCGTAGAACCTGTCCAAGGCAACCCTCTGCGCCACGGAGAACGCAGCGGGCGACAAGGGGTCCCCCTGGTCGAATCCCCTGTCACTTTGAAGCGGGTGGAAACAACCCCAGCGTCTCGCCAGAGGTGTTTCGCTGGCTGCCCGCACCACGAGAGGAGCGCTGCCGCGACCACCTCGTCTCGCTCTGCCATGGCCGCCAGGGCGGGCGCCCGTTCTAGCGAGGGGAAGGCGGCCTCCAAGTCCAGCTTCAGGAAGACTGCTGTGGGCCTGGTTTCCGCCTGGGCCTCCAACTTCCGCAGCAGGAGTTCGGTGCCGCCTGGCCTCCCGACTCCGTACTGCCTGTCGCCAGCTGCGGCCCGAAGTTGCTCCTTCCTGACCCGCGCCAGCGCTCGCAAGCCCAGGCGGCGCACCGTGGAGCCCACAACGAGCGGCCGTACGTCGTCGCCTCCCTTTTGGAGCGCCGTGACCTCCCCTGTGGGAGAACGGCTAGGGCCTCGCTGGGCAGCATGCCGAAGGCGATCCAGGATATCGCTTCGGAGAGCCATCCCAACGTCTCGGCGCAACGCTTCGCGTCTTCGAGGTGTTCCAAGCGGCAGCCTAGCAGCCCCGGCGCCGAGAGACGGGGCGGCCTCCGCAGCAGTCTCGCTGTCTCCTCCTGGACGCTTTCGAGGATCTCTGGCGGAGCCCGCGGGATGCCCTCCAACGACGGCGCTGGCTGAGCTGTTTCGCGGAAGCACGCCTTTACCTTGTTCAAGGTGTCTGGGGTGCGTGGGGCCAGTCTGCTGTTGGCTGTGGCTCGGAGAGCCCGGCCTTCTTCTCCAGCTGCTGCCAGGGTGTGTACCCGCGCCGCCTTTTGTTTGTCGCTGTTCTTGGCGGCCGCCACTGGGATCTTCCGCCCGTGCCGGACGGACGCCCAGAGCGCGTCCCACTGAGCCCCCCAGAACCACGCAAGGCGCTCCTCGAGCAGCTCTGCGCAGGTCGCGGTTTCGTCGCTGGTGCTGAGAAGGAGGAGGTCCAGCACCAAGAACAACTTCCATTCATCCTTCGCCTCCCCGCGTTCCCGGGCGTGCCGAAGGACTTCCAAAGACTTCCGGCGCACCTGGAGGACGGCGCCGCGTAGTCTGTCTGGGATCTGCACATACGTAGTGGCTCCTGTGGTTACCAGGTCGTCCCACGGCAGGGCTGTCCACCAGTCTTGGCCGGGTAGCTCGTTGTCGTCCCAAGCTGGATGCTGGACGGGCTGGTGTTGCTGCTGCTGCGCCGGCGGCGCCCCTCCAGCGGCGGCTCCTGCTCCGCGGGTAGCCTCGCGGACTGCCGTCTGCGCTCGCGCCGCCTCGGCGCTCAACGCATCGCCTCTCCCATGAGGCCGGAGCTCCGCGCCTGGCGGCAGGCGACCCTTCAGGCAGGTAGTGCGCATCCAGCGTGAGCACGTGCGGTTACCCCAGGTGCACAAGCGCAACTCGCCTGCTTCGAAGACCAGGCCGCAGGCCCTGCAGGCGGCCGGTCGTGCCGATGCTCCTTGCACGTCGACCGCCCAGACCGCTGCCCGAAACTGGGCCGCCAGCTGAACGCTCGCGTCCACCTCCATCGTGTCCTCCTGCTCCTCTCCCCCTGACTCCTGGCGCCGCCGGCCGCTGGCCGCGGGTGCGCCTGCGGCCGCGAGGGAAACGTCGACTTCCATGGCGCGCCCCCCCCGCGGAGGAGGAGGAGGAGGAGGAGGAGGAGGAGGAGGAGGAGGGGAGGAGGACGAGGAGGAGGAGGAGGAGGAGGAGGGGAGGAGGAGGGAGGAGACGGAGGAGGAGGAGGAGGAGGAGGAGGAGGAGGAGGAGGAGAAGGAGGAGGAGGAGGAGGAGGAGGAGGAGGAGGAGGAGGAGAGGAGGAGGAGGGAGGATGAGGAGGAGGAGGGGAGGAGGAGGAGGAGGAGCGGAGGAGGAGGAGGAGGAGGAGGAGGAGGAGGAGGAGGAGGAGGAGGAGGAGGAGGAGGAGGAAGTGGCCCTCCAGGGGCCCTCGATGGCTCTGCAACTACCACTGCGGGCCCACCAGGCGCACGGAGAAGGCCCGTGGGTGGCGGGCGCGCAGCTCTTTCTTTCGCGCTGCAGCTGACGACTGCGGGCCCCGGCTGCCGTCGCAGGCTTGCTTCGCAGTCCTGCAATCTCGCCTGCCTTTCCCAAGCGAGCCGGTCCAGCACTGAAGCTGACTTTGACGGCTGCGTTCCTCACTCCTCGCGTGCTGGTCCCTGGTCTGGAGCTGATGAGCGCCCGTTCCGCCGCGGTGGTCCTTTCAGGCCACGGCCGCGCCTGCGCTGGTGCACGCGTCCGCGCACCGACTGGAGCCGTGCTGAGCTCGTCTGCAGCCGCCGCCGCGCGCGTCTTGCGAGAAGGCTTCCCACGAGCCTCCCCAGAGCGCCGACACCGACGGTGCCTGCTGCCACCGCGTTCTTCTCACACGAGCTGATCCCTTCTAGGCCTCCCAGATGGGGTCCGAGTAGAGGGTGTTGGAGGATCGCGCCGCATCGCCGACGCATCGGCGACGTGGCTCGATGTGCAGGAGCCCGATTTTATCCACGCCGACGTCGCCAACGCATCACCAGCGTCGCCGATGCGTCGCCTATGCATCGGGGATGCAACGGGATCCTTGGACCCCATCGACTCCAGATTCCATGATAAAGTGGGGTGGGTCACATTTGGGGCGGGGGTCTGATTTGAGCTGTCTTGGAGCGTTCGGGGGGTCTGGGCAAAACGCCGCCCTTTCATGCCTGGTCTGGAGGGGGGGTCTGAAATTGTTCGTCTGGGAGGGTTGTGACCCCCCCAACCTATTACGAAATCCGGGTTACTCGGGCCCTATCAGGGATGTTTCTATCCCTGCGTTGTAGATGATGGCCTTCTCCATTCTCCCACACGCGCCACTTCGGCACCGGCATTTCTCTCTGCTACTGCCTGTCATGCCGCACGAGCTGCTTCCTGCAATGCAGCCGCAGACTGCCCGAGGAGGAAGTGGAGGAGGGGGAGACATCGGAGGAGGCACTGGGGAGAGCAAGGGAGGATATATACAAGCAGGAGGAGGCAGGGTGAGGAAGGCCGGTGCCAGGAAGGAGGAGGTACTTTGAACAGGAGGGAAAGAAACACACACAGACCTAATTCACTTGTGGACTCCCAGGAGAAAAGATGAGAACAGAAAGGGGGAAACGGGGGGGAGGGGGGGGGGGGGAAGGCGACTCCCCCCAGGAAAGCACAGGGGGAAAGGGGGGGACTCCTGGGACCCGTGTGTCCGCTTCTCTGCGGGTCCCTGGGCCCCTTGCGTGGGGGGAGGGTGCGGAGTCGGAGCTCCGACGCCCCGCTGCCTCTCTCTCTCTCTATATCTCTTTCTCTCTCTCTCTCTCTCTTTCTGTTTTGGTGCTGCTGGCCTCGGGGCCTCGGAGCCTCTCGGCGCCCTTCCCCCCCCCTACGCCCCGGGGGCCCGCTCTGCGCCCCGAGCAGCTTATTTCGGAGGCTCCCTGGCTCCTCCTCCTCCCCCCCTTCGTCCTGCTCCTCCTCCTCCTCCTCCTCATCATCATCATCATCCTCCTCCTGAGCTACTGGCGCTCTTCCTCCTCCTCCTCCTCCTCATCATCATCATCCTCCTCTTCCTCTTCCTCCTCCTCGTCCTCCTCCTCCTCCTCCTCCTCCTCCTCCTCCTCCTCCCCCTCCGTTTCCTCCTCCTCCTTCTCCTCCTCGTCCTCCTCCTAAGCTCCTCCTCCTCGGAGGGCCCCCCCCCAGAGATCCGCACAGGACGTGCTGAAGAGTTCGGCGGCGGGCGAGAGGGCGGGCAGCGAGGGGGAGCCCCCCTTCCTGCCTTCTGCACCTCCCAGCCCGCCCAGGAGAAGCCCCCGGCCTCCTCCCCCCCTCTTCTCCTCCTCCTCCTCCCTCCTCCTTCGTCCTATCCTCTCCTAATCCTCTTCCTCCTTCTCCTCCTCTGCCTCCTCCTCCTCCTCCTCCTCCTCCTCCTCCTCATCCTCATCCTCCTCCTCCTCCTCCTCCTCCTCCTCCTCCTCTCTTCAGGCCCATGGCCGGAAGAGAAGCGGAGATCACCGCCATCAAGATCGGCGGCGAGCGAGGGGGTTAAGGGAGAAGGAGCAGGCCTTCTCAGAAGGTGGCGGGACCTTTCAGAAGGCCCCCGGCCTTCTGAGAGGTTCTTCTCAGGAAGCTGGGGGACTTCCGAGCCTGCTGAGAAAGCCCGCCCCTGCTCACTTCTCCCCCTCGCTCACCGCCGAAAAGCCGCAGGCTCGACATTTCCGAGTCTCCGCTTAGCCTGCCAAGGTGGTCCGATAGGGTGTCACGGTGAGTTCGAGTCGTGTCGACCAGCGGCGACCCCGCCGCCGGCGTTCAGCGTCGGACGCCGCCGGCGTTCCTAAATCGGTCGATGTGGAACGATCGGTCGTTTCGGAAACGGCCCATCGTTCCAGGTTGAACGATTTCTGCGGTGTCCCAAACCAACTCCGAAGTCGGCACGACAAGAACCTGCCGTAGGTATTTTTTGTTACCAGCTTCCTGACGCAACGGCCATCGAGCCAATGTCGGTCTAGCGCAAAACATCCGTTCCCGGCTCGACCCGCGGTCGGCCGAGGCATGACGTACTCTTACAAAGGGAACTACACTCAGTTCCTCGAGCAGCGGGAGGAGAAGATGAGGCGCCTGAGGGGGGGGATCCGGGCAGCGTCGTCCCGGAGATCCAGGCGTCGCAATTTTTTCACAGTTGGCGTTTTCGCCAGGTTTCGGGACCCCGGGCCCTCACAGATCGATCTGGCTCGAAAACGGACGCAGAGAGACGTGGTCTATAGGGCTCAGGCCACGCTCTTTTTGCGATGCTGTATTTATTGGGGGGGCAAGGTCAGATCTGAGGGGTAGTCGACGTCGACGACTTGCTCGTTTTTGGAGGGCTCAGGAGCGTCTTCTCGCGTGTCCCAGACCTCCGACGATGTTTTGCTCCCTGCTTTCGGCCTCCAGGGGGCCACCACTTTCAGTGACGGGGCCATCCACAACTGGATCCAGGGCAAGCTATGTGATCAAGTGTGGGTCACAAGCAGTAAATGATTGCATCGTGGATGAGCAAGCTATGTGGTGCACAAGCTACGTGGTGCAAGCCGTGCGGTGCAAGCTAGAGGTGGCACCGAAGCGGCAACGGGCAGCAACGGGGCGAAGCCCCGCCAGACCCACCCAGCGCACCTGGCGGCAACGAGGCGGCAACGGGCGGCAACGTGGCGAAACCTCGCTAGACCCCCCCAGCGCACGTGGCGGCAACGGGCGGCAACGTGGCGAAACCTCGCCGGACCCTCCCAGCGCGCGAGGCGGCAACGGGCGGCAGCGTGGCGAAACCTCGCAGGACCCACGCAGCGTCCGAGGCGGCAAGGAAGCGGCAGCCAGGCAGCAGCGGCTGGAGACGCGGCGAAGCCTCGCAGGACCCACCCAGTAAAGGAGGCGGTAACAGGCAACGAAGCGGCAACGGTTGCAGTGTGGCGAAATTTCGCCAGACCCATCCAGTCCCTGAACTACCGAAGTAGGAACCCATAGGCCCATAAGTGCAATCACTGTTTGGGGAAGTACCCTCAGGAAAGGCGTCGGGAGCTTTTTGTCGGTGGGTTGCAATTGTACAGTCGGGGCCCTGAAGAAGGAACCCTTTTCGTTGGGGAGGGGCTCCGCATTCCTGAAGTGTTTCGCAGCTTGCCTCAGGCTTTCCTTGTGTCTTCGACCGGAAGTCGAAGTTTAACTTATGGAAGAAGGGGGCCTCGTTCCTTATTTTGGGTTCCTTAGGTCAAGGCCCCGACTCTACCGAAGTAAGAACCCATAAGCCCATAAGTGCAATCACTGTTCGGGGAGGTACCCTCAGGAACGGCGTCGGGAGCTGTAACTGTACCGGAGGATGTGGGGGCTCTGGTCGCCCCGGCTGGATTTGGCATGGAGGAAGTCAGGAGGGGAAGAAACACACAGACACAATTAATCGTCGATCCCCGGGAAAATATGGGAAAATATGGGCAGTGGGGGGGACGACAAAAACCCAGAAAATATGGGAAAATATGGGACATCGTTTTATTTGTGTGTATTTATTTGTGTGTGTCCTGGGGCCCCTTCAGGAAGAGGGTTTCACAGGGAAGGGGGTTCCAAACTCTCGGGCATCTCCCCCGAGGCCGCTTTCTCATCTCGGGTGATGTCTGCGACGGCCCCAGGGCCTAATTATGACGGGCTCCGGCGCCCCGAAAACACGGCGAAGATCCTCCAGAACACCTCCCTCTGGAGGACCCCGGTCTTTGAATTCGGCAAACCAGTTGTTTCAATTCGAGGAACAATTTGAAATCTAAAAACCAATTGTCGGAATTCAATAACTTGCTTCTGAAATTCAAAAAACAGTTTGTTATTCAAAAACCAGTTTTATGAGTTCAAACACCAGTTGCCTCCATGGCGCTGGGCGAGGCTGGGAAAACTGGCAACCGTTGGTCCCCGTGGGGAGGGAGCTGGAGCCGCGGCTGTCCGTGTTGAAGCTCGAGGCGATGTCGAGGAGGAGAGGCGAGGCAGGAGGAAGCGGAGGGTGGCCTCTCCGGGCGTACACAGTCTTTGGTAATGTAGCGGGGAGCTTTGCCACCATGAAGCCTGTTCGAGCAGAGGCCGCATGGCACCTCTGAGGGGCGTCTTGTGGCCCTTTGGGGGAAGGGGGTCTGGGAGCCTCGTGGGGGCATCTTGTGGCCTCTCGGGGCCCTCTTGTGGGTGTCGCAGCCTCGATGCTTCCTGAAGTACCCAGGGGGCCTCTTGAGGGGTCGGGTTCCGATGTTGTGATGACCTCTCTCTCTCTCTCTCTCGTTTTCAAAAACGTCGATTTGAAGTTCGACGCCTGATTATCCCGAAACGTTGTTAAGAGGCAGGAGTCGGTGCACAGTTTCCTCACCGTCAGGGAGTAGGATGGTGTGAGTTCGCGAACGAACTCCTTCGGCCAAAGCGATGGTACCTTCAGGCCAATCTAAGATACGTCGATAGCCAGCGTGGGCCCAATCAGTGGAGGTGACAGTTATGCAGTGTAAGCCAGTTGGTGAAAGCTGTGTCTTGGACACTGTTTTTGTTGTGAGCTGTGGAAGGGGAGAGCTGTGCGGTAAACCATGTGGCGTCAGCTGTGCGGCGTGAACTGGAGGTGGACGCTTCGGGGTGCAAGCCGTGTAGAGTTGGCTGCTGTGTGAGTTGTGCGGTGTATGCCATGTGGTGTATGCCATGTGGTGAAAGCTGTATCGGGTAAGCTCAGAGCATGGGGCGCCCCACGAGCGCCCGCCAGGCGGCACGTTCGGCAACGCGGCGCAACCTCGGCAAGCCCCCCCAGCGCACGGGCCGCCCACGTCTCGGCAGCGGGCGGCAGCGTGGCGCACCCTCGGCAGATCCCCTTTGACCCCCCGGAAGCAATGGGCGTAACCCTGCGTGCTCGATTGGTTCTACCTGTATGATTTCTCGCAGCACGCCGGTATAGCAAAGTCACTGGGACGCAGGAGGAGGTCCAAGATGGAGCTAACTCGTCGAAAAAGCATTGGTGATGCATTGCGTTCCAGGGTGACCCTGGAGGAGGAATGCCCTCTGAGATGAAGGAGGGATGTCACTTGCTCTGGAACCCCTCAGGGGTTCCAGAGCAAGTGACAGAAGAGCGGACAAGACAATGGAAATGATGCCAAGGAGGATCGGGAAGAGGATTGCGAGGAGGATACTATTCGGTAGACTTCACTGTTTGAGAAACAAGGTTGGAGGCAGATGTCAAAAGCAGGAGGGCGGGGGGGGGGGGGGACGATCATGCCGAGTGGCTGGTGGGGGGCCTCGCCAACCGCCAGACCTTGTCATTGTGGGGCGCGGTTTCCGTGTGTGTGTGTGTGTGTGTGTGTGTGTGTGTGGGTGTGTGTGTGTGTGTGTGTGTGTGTGGGTGCGCGTGTGTGTGTGTGTGTGTGTGTGTGTGTGTGTGTGTGATGCGAACTTCTCTGGGGACGAGTGGTGAGCGCTGCCGCGTGTGGCTGAAGCATATCAAAAAAAAGGCAGGGGGGGGCCGACCGCGAGGATCTGGAAGGCCAAGTTCAGACAGCAGTGCAAGGAGGTGTCGGCCATCGAGAAGTACATCAAGGCGCCCCGCCGGCACGCCCGGGAGAGCTCGGCGCCTGCCCCCATTCGGATGCGCACTCGCCGGGGATGCTCTCCTGGCCGTTTGCCCAGAGTTTAAGTCGGGCGCGTCCCTCGACAGGAGGAGAATACAGAAATAGTCAAAAAATAGTCAGGAAGCGATTTTTCTGTTAGCTGATTCTTGACCCTTTTTAGGACTACTGCTTCTTTGTCATCCAAATCCGCCTGCAGGAGGACACGCCCACCTAAGCCCAGATGCCCATCCGCAAAGTCGCGCTGTCCTTCTGCCTGGGCCTCCCGCCAAGTCGCCGCAGCCAGGATGTGTTCCCTGGGATGGCGGCTCCGATTTCGCGTCGACTCCGCGTCGATTCGGCGTCGATTGGCGCCGATTTGGCGTCGACGAGCGTCGATTCGCACGAGCCGGCCAGATGGTATGGGAGGCTCCCAGGAGTTGCCATCGAAAGCTCCCCTGCGCCCTCCACTGATTGGCGGCGGGCGCGGGGGGGAAATGAGAAGGGGCGGGACTTTCGAGGCTTCTGAGAAGTTTCTGGACTTCTTAGAGGGCTTCTGAGAAGTTCTGTCTGTATTCGAAATAGGCCAAGGAAACGTCTCAGAAGCCCCCCGGACTTCTAAGAAGTCCCGCGGCCTTCTGAGAAGGCCTTCTCCTTCTCATTTCCCCCCTGGGCTCGTCGCTTAACTGAGCAGAGGCAAAGCTCGGCTGCCCGGGGCTCCGCCGCCCCGCGAGCACGCGGTCCAGGGAAGCTGTGCGCCGGACCCGCTGGACATGTTGGGCCAGGGCCTTTGTCGGGGCTCAAGGGACGGGGGTCAACACAAACGGGGGTCAGCCAGTCACCACCCACCAAACAACCCCAACCCAACCCGAAGGCCCAAATTTATCCTCGATTTTCAGTGGGGGGGGGTCGGGGAACATCGAAAAAACACATGGGATCCGTCTGGGTTTGGGTTGGGGTGGTCTGGTAGGTAGTCAGCCAGAGCGCCGGATCTTGCAGGATCCTGCAGAGACAGGGTCGCGTGGACCCGTGCTTGGGCGCGGGATCCTGCAGGATCTTGCAGGATCCTGTAGCCTGTAGGGCCCGACTGACCCGGGTCTGGATTGACCCGGGTCAGAAGATCCCCGACTTTGGAGGGCGGGAGGCTGAGCCAGAAAGGCAGAGGCCGTGCATCTCAGAGGTGCGTTGGCAATATGGTGAGACGGAGATGTCCGGAATAAACCAAGAGCGTGCTGCAGCAACTCTTGCTCAGGAGACCAGCGGATCTTGGGAACATAATCGGAACGAACCCACGCGAGGTCCCGGCGGGACCTGAGACGAGGGGAAGGGGGAAAGGCCTGAGACAAGACCTGAGTTGGGGTCGGGGGGGATCATGGACACATCTTAACGAGGCCTTACTGGGACGAATTCGGGCGCTCTGAGGCCGTCTGGCGCCTTCGGAGGCCGTCTTCGGGGCCTCTCTGGGCTGTCTTGAGGCCCTCTCGGGGTCAGTGAGGGCCGTACTAGGGGCTCTCTTCGGCCGTCTCGGGGCCCTCTTGGGTCGCTTTGAGGCCGTTTAGGGCCTCTCATGGGCTTCTCGTCGGCCTCTTGAGCCGTCGTGGACGCCCTTGGTATAGAAGAGAGGTCGAATTAAACATATATGAATGTCACACCTGCTACACACACGCCGACAATCATGCAGCCTTGAACAGAGACGTCTCTGTTCAAGGGGGATAGCTAGATGTACATCTAGCTATCCCCCAAGAAAAAGCAGTTCTGCTTGAGATGCCCTACCAGTGTGGACGCGAACGGGCCCCTGCAAGATCCCGGTGGACACCGTTTTCTGGCATGCCAGAATGTCATGCTAGCTGTATCGCGACGATCATACCGCCCTGAAAAGAGACGCGCCTCACTCCAAACATTGTAACTCCGCTTGAGCGGCCCCGCCAACCTGGACGCGAACTGGCTGGGGCAGCACCCTCTGGCGGTTCCCACGTGGGAGACCCACGTGCGATCTTTGCTGCATCGCCATGACCATTTTGGGCTCTGCCAGAGATACGTCTATATCCGAACGCGGCCATTCTACCTTAGAGGTCCCACCAATCTGGACGCGAGCGGGCCCGTGCAAGACTCCCGGCGTCTTCTCCTTAGGAGGCCCAAGTTCAACGCTTGCTGTATTGCAATCACCGTGGTGCTCTGAATCCGCACGCGTCCAATCCCCCAAACGGTAATAATGTTTGAGAGGCCGCATCAATCTAGACTCGAAGGGGCCCGGCAAAACCCCTTGTTGCCCCGCCTACCAGGAGGCCCAAGTGCAAAGCCTGCTGCATCGCGTTTGTCACGGGGCTCTGAAACGAGGCGCGCCGCACCCCCAAGTCGGCCCGCTATTCTACCGGATCTGACCCACGAATCTGGTCGCGAACGGGCCCATGCAAGATCCTCCTGCGGCTCTCCCTTGGAAGGCCCAAGTGCGATGCCTGCTAGATCGCCGTGATCCTGGGGCACTGAGTGCAGTCACGGCTACTTCTGAAAATGGCAATTCGATTTGAGAGGCCCCAGCCATTTTACTTGAGAGATCCCACCGATCTCGCCGCGAACGCGCCCGTGCAACACCACCTCTTGCACCCCCCACCCCTTGGGAAGCCCAATTGCGATGCCTGCTAGGTCGCGGTGACCATGGCGCTCTGAAACGAGACGCGTCCCACCTCCCAACGGCCATTCCGCGTGAGAGCCCCCCCGCCAATCTGCACGTTAACAGGTCCGTGCAAGACCCAAGGGCGGCTCACCTCCTTGGGAGTCCCAGATCGCGGCGAAACGGGCCCGTGCCACACACCCCGGGCGGCTCCCCCCTCGGGAGGCCCACGTGCGATGCTTGCTGCAAGTAGGTGGTCAGCGTGCGCGGCCGACTACCAGTGAGTCTGGGTGTGAGCATGTCGGAACAAGAGTGAGACTGAGCATGACTGAGCTTGAGTGGGGGTTAGGCCTGGGTTTATAGCTGAGCACGAGTGCGTCCACGCACGAGCGAGCCCGAGCAGCGACGCGCCGCAGCGAGGCGCCGGCGGGGCCGAGCTACAGAGGTGAGAGCAGCGAGACGGATGTGGAGACGCGGGGATCGACGACGACACAGCTGCTCCGACGAAGGCATCTATACACCACCACCGTGCCAGGCCAGGGCCATCCTGGGCCCTAGGATGGTGTATAGACCCTCCTGGCTCGGCCAGGAGGGCGTATACACCATCCTAGGGCCCAGGATGGCCCTGGCCTGACACGGTGGTGGTGTATAGATGCTTCCTGCGTGCACAGGACGGAGGGCACGGTGAGGCCCGCGTCTGGTCTCGCAGGCGGTTGTCGGCCCCGGGTGGCCCCCTCCCGCCTTGGGAGCCCCGGGCACCCGTCGGCATCCAGCCGATGCGGGCGACGGGGCGGGCGATCGCAGGTGAACAAGGGCAAGCAGGCCATGTCGCAGGCCGTGGCGCGCCGGACGAGGGAGTTGGAGACCAGGCGCAAGAGCAAGGATTGGATGGACCCACCGCCCAGGCTCGCAGGGGACGTGAACCGGGGGGGGAATCCCTTCATCCCATTCCTCTCCCTGCCCCCCTTTCCCCTTGGGCCTGAACGTCTGAATGCCAGCTTCGCTTCCTGGCTCTCCGCTTGACGCGGTTGCAGCATTGGACGCAGAGCTTTCTAGAGAGGGGGGCAGAGTCGTAATGCATCCTTGTAGGCGATGCGTCTAACACCCCGCCCCAGACTGTTCTAGTACTGCTCGGACCGCTCGATACGGGCTCCCCTCTCTTCTGAAGTGTGCCGTCACAGACATGGTTTCCTTTCATTTGAGCGAATGATTTACATCTTCTCCTCGGCGGGAGCCAGCAGAGGTCATGCGGAAGCCGGTGGACGCAGCACGAAGATGGTTTCGCCTGCGTCAGCGTCAGCTGGCGGAAGTGAAAGCGAATCCAGCAAAGGAGGTCAAGTCCAACACCATCAGAATATACGAAGCCGGCCTAACATCACCCTGGCCTTATTCCCCCTCCCCCCTCCCTTCCCCCACGTGCGAATGCCACACAGACCGGGCCTCAGCTGGGTCCACTCGTGCCCTGATGAGACTGGCCGACCCCTCCCCCCCCCATGCCCCTCCGTCACAATCACCTCCCTTCCCCTCTCCCGTCCTTCCCTCCCCCCCCTCACCCCCCCGTGCCCTCCACACAAGATTGTAAATTTCGTCATGCCATACCGGCGCGGCTCTCGTGGAAGCTGGATGCAGTATTTGGGCTCGTTGTCGCGTGCGGGGGCCCGTGCTCACTGTGAAGTGCCAGAGGCAACCCTGCACCCAGACAGCGGCATTGGGGCCTCGACGTTCTGCCCCTCCGCGCAAACCGAGGGAGGTCCGCGCAATCGAGTGGTGGGAGTGCACCGGAGCCAGAACCAGCCTACCTGCAGCTCGCCAGAGATAATGGAGGATGACGATTAAAAAATGACCGGGGGTCCTGTTCACGCGGCGGCGCCCGGGATGACGATCAGAAAAAACCGGCCGCGGGCTGGAAAACTATTTTTTTATCGTTCTCCTCCAGTTCGAAAATTGTGGAGAGACAGCAGGAAACTATGTTTTTTAATCGTTCTCTCCCCATTTTTTATCATTCGTCATCCCGCATTAGTGTCATCCCAGTCTCGTGAGGTGGCACTGACGGACGATCCTGCGGCTGCGGGGGTGCGGCGCACGGGGCCCTTGCGAGCAATCCTTTCCGTCGTGTGCAGGATGGTGCTGAGGGCTACTGGGTGGTTTGCGCAGGTGGGCCCCCGCCACGCACCACGGCGGCGACACCAGGGTGCGCCTGAAGTCAGGAGGTAAAGAAACACACAGACACAATTAATCGTCGACTCCCTGGAAAATATTGGAAAATATGGGAAGTGGGGGGAAAGACAGAAGCCCCAAAAATATTGGAAAAATTTGAGATTCCTGTTATTTGTGTGTATTTATTTCTATGTTTGTGGGCCCCTTCATGAAGGGCGTACACGTTGGCTGCGTCGAGGGGCGGTCCTTGAGAGGCCTTCCGAGCCCAGCGCGAGGGCACCCCGCTGCCACACGGCCCTCCGCCGCAGGGGCCGCTCTTCTTCGCGGGGAGGGGCTGTAGCTGCGCGCTGTCGGAGGACGAGGCCTCTCCCCGAGCTGGGGAGGCGGGGGCGCATCGCGCGGGGAGGCTTGGCATCGCTCGGACGCGTGCATTTTTCCTTCGGCGAGGATCATCGAGGAGCATCCTTGATCATTTGGCGAAAAAACCACGCACCAAACCGAACAAAAGCACAGGGAATGGACGTCCGAGCGATGGCCAGGGAGGGCGGACCACGCCACCGGGAGGGCCCCTCCTGGCTTCTCGATCTGGTGGCGCTTCTCCTGGAGCCTGCGCTCGCGAGCTTCGGCGGCGCAGCGGGCAGTGGAACAGGATATGCTTCGGAGGTTGCCAGGGTCGACCACCTAGGCAGTGCTTTGGGCGATTTCCTGGGACGTTTTTGTGTCGTTTTCGTTTTGCAGCAAAGCCGGGATGAAGACAAGAGGGAAAACAACAATTAGCCTGACGAAGGTCCCAACCGTACGCAGATGCGAGTACCGCATTGTGGGTACCAGTGTCGGTGGAGCTCTCTGTGGGGCCACGAAACGCTGTCCTGGGTGGCGCTGACGCATGTAGACTGTGCCAGTCGAGCCTTCGTTGGAGCTCCCTGTGGGGCCACGAAAAATTGTCCTGGGTGGCGTTGGCGCATGCGGCCTGTGCCCCTGGAGCCTTCGGTGGAGCTCCCTATGGGGCCACGAAGCGCTGTCCAGGGTGGCGTTGGCCCATGCGGCCTGTGCCACCGGAGCCTTCGATGGAGCTCCCTATAGGGCCACGAAACTTTGTCCTGGGTGGCGTTGGCGCATGCGGCCTGTGCCATCGGAGCCCTCGGTGGAGCTCCCTTTGGGGCACGAAGAATTGTCCAGGGTGGCGTTGGCGCATGCGGCCTGCGCCACTTGAGCCTTCGGTGGAGCTCCCTATGGGGCCACGAAATGCTGTCCTGGGTGGCGTTGACGCATGCGGCCTGTGCCACTGGAGCCTTCGGTGGAGCTTCCTATGACACCACGAAGCGCTGTCCAGGGTGGCGTTGGCGCATGCGGCCTGTGCCACTGGAGCTGTCGGTGGAGCTCCCTGTGGGGCCACGAAAAATTGTCCTGGGTGGCGTTGGCGCATGCGGCCTGTGCCCCTGGAGCCTTCGGTGGAGCTCCCTATGGGACCACGAAACGCTGTCCTGGGTGGCGTTGGCGCATGCGGCCTGTGCCATCGGAGCCCTCGGTGGAGCTCCCTTTGGGGCACGAAGAATTGTCCAGGGTGGCGTTGGCGCATGCGGCCTGCGCCACTTGAGCCTTCGGTGGAGCTCCCTATGGGGCCACAAAGTGCTGTCCTGGGTGGCGTTGACGCATGCGGCCTGTGCCACTGGAGCCTTCGGTGGAGCTTCCTATGACACCACGAAGCGCTGTCCAGGGTGGCGTTGGCGCATGCGGTCTGTGCCACTGGAGCTGTCGGTGGAGCTCCCTGTGGGGCCACGGAACGCTGTCCTTGGTGTTGACGCATGTAGACTGTGCCAGTCGAGCCTTCGGTGGAGCTCCCTGTGGGGCCACGAAAAATTGTCCCGGGTGGCGTTGGCGCATGCGGCCTGTGCCCCTGGAGCCTTCGGTGGAGCTCCCTATGGGACCACGAAGCGCTGTCCTGGGTGGCGTTGGCGCATGCGGCCTGTGCCACTGGAGCCTTCGATAAAGCTCCCTATGAGACCACGAAGCGCTGTCCTGGGTGGCGTTAGCGCATGCGGCCTGTGCCGCTGGAGCCTTCGATGGAGCTCCCAATGAGACCACGAAGCGCTGTCCAGGGTGGCGTTGGCGCATGCGGCCTGTGCCACTGGAGCTGTCGGTGGAGCTCCCTGTGGGGCCACGGAACGCTGTCCTTGGTGGCGCTGACGCATGTAGACTGTGCCAGTCGAGCCTTCGTTGGAGCTCCCTTTGGGGCACGAAAAATTGTCCTGGGTGGCGTTGGCGCATGCGGCCTGTGCCCCTGGAGCCTTCGGTGGAGCTCCCTATGGGACCACGAAACGCTGTCCTGGGTGGCGTTGGCGCATGCGGCCTGTGCCACTGGAGCCTTCGATGGAGCTCCCCATGTGGCCAGGTAGCGCTGTTCTTGGTGGCGTTGGCGCATGCGGCCTGTGCCACTGGAGCCTTCGGTGGAGCTCCCTGTGGGGCCACGAAGCGCTGTCCTGGGTGGCGTTGGCGCATGCGGCCTGTGCCACTGGAGCCTTCGGTGGAGCTCCCTATGGGGCCACGAAGCGCTGTCCTGGGTGGCGTTGACGCGGTGTGTCACTGCGCTTGGTGGAGCTCCTATGGGGCCACGAAGCGCTGTCCTGGGTGGCGTTGGCGCATGCGGCCTGTGCCACTGGAGCCTTCGGTGGAGCTCCCTATGGGGCCACGAAGCGCTGTACTGGGTGGGTGAAACGCAGGGAGGTGACGAGGCGGATGGGAGGAGGAGGAGGAGGAGGAGGAGGAGGAGAGGAGGAGGAGGAGGAGGAGCGCTGTCCTGCGTGGCGTTGGCGCATGCGGCCTGTGCCACTGGAGCCGTCGGTGGAGCCCGCTATGGGGCCACGACACGCTGTACTGGGTGGGTGAAACGCAGGGAGGTGACGAGGCGGATGGGAGGAGGAGGAGGAGGAGGAGGAGGAGGAGGAGGAGGAGGAGGAGGAGACGCGGGTCGCTGTCTTTTCAAAACGAGGACCCAACACCACAGGATGCTCGGGAACAGCACGAAAACGAAGCGCACAGTTCGGGTCACTCCCCGGAGGCTGCTGAAGAGGATCAAGTTCTTTTTCCCCGAGCCTCCCGTGCAGCAGCGCGGCAGCCGCAAGAGTGTCACGCTGGCGGCCTTGAACAACACGACGCACGGCTACGGCGACGGCATCGACAAGGTCCTGTTCGACGGCGCGACGATGACGGTCGACTACGGCGACAAGATTGGGATTGTGGGTGCCAATGGCGCGGGCAAGTCAACTCTGCTCCGGCTCCTGCTGGGCAAGGAGGAGCCGATCAGTGGATCGGTCCTTCCGGGAGAGATTCATCCCAATTGCTAGCTGGCGCGCCTTGCGGTGTTCTACCGTCGACCCTCATTATGAGTCGAGCCAGAGTCACCATGGACCAGAAAGCAAGGAATAGGAGAAGAATGAGGAGCAGGCGGGCAGATTGCCGCTGGCAAAGCGGTGAAAGACAGGCGAGATGCATCAATCATGCATCAGACTACCATCGCTCTCTTGGGATCGGCATCGCCGATTCTACCCATGAGTGGACAGTGGGATACTCAGGGGGAACGAGATCAAGAGAGAGAGAGAGAGAGAAAAAATAAAAGAGAGCGAGCGACAGACAGAGACACACGCATACACACAACACACAACACACACGCACACACACAAAGCACACACACACCGAGTTCGCAGCGCGTTCCCGCGTTCCCCCCCAGGGCAATCAGCGCACCACTCGGCTCCGCTCCTCTGCGGGCGGGAGCAGAGCAGCGAGGGCAGGAAGCCGTGGCGCTTCCGGCGCGCCACCGACGGGGGACGTACGGCATAGCGGTCCGGGCACAGTAAAGGTCCACAACCGCAACTCAACTTAAATCGGGCATGTCTTTCTACATGAGGGATACGCACACAAATAGTTTAACATATAATTTGGGAACGATTTTTCCATTGGGAACGATTTTCAGTGTTTTTTTGTTTTCATGTTTGTTTTGTCAATGTTTTATTTGTCATCCAAAATCTGCCCGTAGGAGGACATGCCCGACCTAAAACTAAGTGGACTTTTCGGGATGGCCCCTCGGGGGAGACCGGGAGAACCCACCGATCCCGACATGAGCAAGTTGGCTGCGGTTGTGGTCGACTTGGCTGTCCTTGGACGCCACGCCGACCACGACCAGTACGAAGTTGGCCTCGGTGCTCTCGCAGTGTCTTGGCATGCGCAAGACATCTTCCTGGGCGTGTCCACGATGTGGTTTTACCAGTTTGAGACATATCCCTATCCCTATGTTTGACATCACCTCGCCTCGATGCCGATCTTGAGGATTCCCTCAGTTTCTGAGGGCCTATCCCTGAGAGTGTCCTCGCTTTTTGCTCGCCCCTCCGAGGGATAGGGATACGTTCGAGGCTGGTTATGGTTGTGGTCGCTTGCTGTCCCGGCGGAGCGGGCGGACAGCGCCCCGGGCAGGACGTCGAATGACAGATTGCATGGACAGAGACCTTCGGATCCCCGCGCGGACTTCTCGGAGCGGCGCTGGGCCCCCCCCCGCCTCGGCGCGCGGAGCGCGCCGGGGGCGGCGCTGGAGGTTCCGCCAGAGGGGGTCCGGCGCAGAGCTCCGAGAACGCTGCGCGGAGCTCCGGAAGCTCAGTCTTGTGCAGCTTGTCTTCCTCTAGAGGCTGGCCTCACAGATCTGCGGCGAGGGAGACGAGAGGGGGCGGGCCCTCTCAGAAGGCTCGGGATTCCCCCGGACTTTCAGAAGTTTCTGAGCCTTCTCCCCGAAGACGCGGAAATCTCTTCAGAAGGCGCGAGGGCTTCTGAGGAGTCCCGCCGCCTTCTGAGAAGGCCTTCTCCTTCACACGTTCCCCCCTCGCTCGCCGCCGATCCAGGCTTAAGTCGGGCACGTCCCTCTACAGGAGGGGCATTCAAACATAGATCGAAAATAGTTCAGGGACGACTTCTTGATTATGCTTTGCCGTTTTTGCATTTTTGGGGGGGTACTTTTTATCTGTCGTCCAATAGGAGGACATGCCCGACCTAATTCTTGCCTGGCCTCACGCAGGGAGGGCGCATGGGCGGTCCACTCCGTGCGAGACGGGCGGCCTCGCGGCCTAAAGCCTGGTGCGAGGTGCCGACGGCGGCAGCGGCGCGGGGCCCTCCGCACGGCACAGCCCCGGGACCTCGGGGCTCGTTTCGATCCCTCCGATTCCATTCGGTTCGCTCTCGATGGCTTCCGACTCCGGCTCGAGTCGACCCGACTCGTTGGCATCCGATCCGATCCCGATTCCGATTCGATGCCGATGGCTTCCGACTGATCGATTCGATTCTTTGTTCTCCTGGGGCTCGGGCGGGCGGCAGGTCCGAGGTGGGGGTTTGTCCAGAACCACCGCCTGGGGGGTCGATCTTCGCGGACCTCCACAGGCGGTGGATACGGATGTATTCGGGCCCCCCGGCCCGCTGGGGCACCAGGACGTCGGCTCCCAGGCGGTGGATATGGATAGATCCCCGCCTCGCAGGCGGCAGGGGCAGGCAGTCCCGACGGCCCCTCGATGGCCCCGCCTGGGCAACGGCAGGCCACGGCAGGCAGTCCCGGCGGCCTTGCCACGCCCTCGCACGGACAGTTGTGGGCCACGGCGGGCCATTCCCGACGGCCCCCTTCCACGCCCTGACACAGGAGGAGGAGGAGGAGGCGGAGCAGGAGGAGGAGGAAGAGGAGGAGGAGTAGGACGAGAAGGAGGAGGAGGAGGAGGAAGAGGAGGAGGAGGAGGAGGAAGAGGAAGAGGAAGAAGAAGAAGAAGAAGAATAATAAGAATAAGAAGCAGAGGAGGAGGAGGAGGAGGAGGAGGGAGGGAGGAAGAGGAATATGAACAAGAATAATAATAATAAGAAGAAGAGGAGGAGGAGGAGGAGGAGGAGGAGAGGGAGGAGGAGGAGGAGGAGGAAGAGGAGGAGGAGGAGGAGACAATTGCAAGCCACGGCAGTCAACTCCCGACGGTCACTACCTACACGTTCTCGCGTGCACCGCTGCAGGCCCCTGGAGGGGGGCGGCGGCCGAACGGTAGGCCCGCCGCGCCACCAAGCTTAGTTCGGGCACGTTTCTCTACAGGAGGTATATCCAGTAACAGTTTTTTTATTTTTTAAACAAAAAACAATGTGGGGACGATTTTCATGTACTGCTTGTTTATTGTTTTTTGTATTTTGTTGTTTGGGCATTCTTGACTTTATAAAAAACCGTCCACAATCTCCCTGCAGGAGGACATGCCCGACCTATCACCAGGCCCCCCCCCAGAGCCAAGCCCATCAGAGGAATTCGGCAGCAAATCATGGGAGCCTGGTGTGCCCTGTTAGTTCCGTCTTTGGCGTCGACTGGCGTCGCTTGGCGCCTGGGAGCCGATGAGATGGCGCCGAGTTTGCGCCGGCGAACGTCGACTTAGCATCGATGTGGCGTCGATTGGCGTCGACCCGAAAGAGCCGACAAGATGGTATACGAGGCCCCCGTGAGCTTCCACCGAAATCCGCCCCTCGGCGCCCCTGGGAGACCAGCCGGTCGGGGCAGTCCCGGCGCGGTCTGCGCGCCCCAGCGGCTCGTCGCCGGTCGAGAGCTTACGCCCCGCCGAGTCGCGAAAAAGTCACGACGGGAATTTCTTCGTTATGGTCAAGTCGGGCCTGCACAGGATGAATATTCAAGAGTAAACAAAATAGTCAGGGGACGATGTTTTGATTATGTTTGCTCATCAGGGGAGGTCTTTTTTGGAGTGTTGTAAATCTTTCGTCGAACATCCGCCTGTAGGGGAGCATGCCCGACCTAAGGTTATGGTCGGTCTCAAGGGGCTCGTACTGGGCGCGGGGACCGTCCAACACCGACCCACCATGAGGGTCCTGGTCTCGCTGTTCAGTCGTGCGAGTCGCTTCCCGGTGTCCATGGCAATCCTCTGTCACTGATTGGCGAGGGCCGCCTGTCAGCATGTGGCTAGGCGGTTGGGGTAAAGCTCGCGGTATCTCTAGCTACCAGGACCAACGTCCGATATCCGCGAATCGGTTGTACACGTGAATTCGAGGACTTTCGACTGTTCGCGCTCATCGCTGGTCCCGCTAACTGGTTTGCAACAAGTTCTATATTTGCGCGTACGCTGTTATGTTGGTTAATGTTACTTGCATTTGATATTCATGTTGTTGCCGTCGTTGTCGTTGTCGTCGTCGTCGTTGTTGTTGTCGTTGAACTCTCATTGCTGAAGAATATTATGGTTGATCCCCCCTCTGGTAACATATTTGTTTTTCAATTGAATTGTCCCTCTCAGGGCTCGCACCCGGTTACTCATCAGGGAAAGTCTTCCTGCTCAAACTGCGCCCCTGGCCCCCAGACTACAACAATAACGGCTCCCGCTTGATACTTCCCCACAATTTTCTGAGGAATCGCGCTATCGCTAGGGGCTTTCTTGCAATTTATAGAAGAATCGCGCTCTCGCGTGTGACTTCCTCGCATTGTATTCAGACGCCACGCCCTCGCCATTCAGGAATCGCGCTCTCGCTTAGGACTACCTCATAATTTACTTAAGGATCGCGCTCTCGCCCGAAACTTCCTGGCGAATTATGCAGGACTCACGCATTCGCGTAACATACGTGTTTTGTTCAATTCAAGTGCCACCCGGGCTCACTGTGATTTTACCGGGGAAAGTCTTCTTGCTCAAACTGTGCGCCTGGCCCCCGGCTTACATCTACAACAACAACGGTTCCCGCCTGATATTTCCCAGAGGGATTTCCTCATATTTCAATGCAGGAATCACGCTATCGCATGCGACATCCTTTCAGTTGATTCAGACGCCACGCCCTCAACACTCAGGAATTACGCTCTCGCTGTGGATTTCTTCAAGATGTACTCGAGAATCGCGCTATCGCTCGAGACTCCCTCGCGACTCATGTAGGACGCACGCTTTAGCAACCCGCCTTCTCGACCTGGCCGTCTAGGCCCGCCTTCCCAACCCGCCTGTTAGGGTCTAACCGCCCGAGCTGCCCGTCTGGTCCTGTCACGTGTTTTCTGCTCTCAGCCCCCCTCCTGCTATTTTCTCTCGTGCTCCATCTTCCTCCCTCCCCTTTGTCCCTTCCTTCCATCCTTCCCCTCTTTCCCTGCCTTCGGGGCTGCACGAAATACACACGTTGCAGGTAAGAAAGATACACCCAGAGGGGCGTACGATCGAAGACGAAGAGGGCGGGTATCGAGGGTTTTGGATATACGTGTTGAATTGCACGCGAACAGGGAAGAGCGAACAGTCTTATAATGGTTGTGGCTGTTGTTGTTGCTGCTGCTGCTGTTGTTGTTATTGGTGTTGTTGCTGTTGTTGTTGTTGTTGTTGTTGTTGTTGTTGGTGTTGTTGTAGTGGTTGTGATTGTTGTTGTTGCTGCTGCTGTTGTTGTTGGCGTTGCTGTTGGCGTTGTTGTTGTTGTTGTTGTTGTTGTTGTTGTCGTCGTTGTCGTCGTTGTCGTTGTCGTTGTTGTTGTTGTTGTTGTTGTTGTTGCTGTTGCTGTTGCTGTTGCTGTTGTTGTTGTTGTTGGTGTTGGTGTTGTTGTTGTTGTTGTTGTTGTTGTTGTTGTTGTTGTTGTTGTTGTTGTTGTTGTTGTTGTTTGATGTGCGTCCATGATGTGTTACTGTCCTTGTGATGCTGATTCCATGCTGGTCCCTTCGTTTACGGGCTGGCCGTCCTCATCCTCCATCCCTCCCTTCCCCGCCCGCGGATCCGCCCTTCTCTCCCCGCCCCTCCTCCCTGGCCTCCGTGTCAGGAGACGGCTTGCTCTCGAGCGCTCCACGAGGGGAGATCGTCTCCTCCGGTCGACGCGGCGGCGGCCAGGCACGCGCCGACGTGAAGATGCGTACCTTGCCACCCAGGAGGTGTATTTGAGACGTGGTTGCCGCGCGCTGGATCCGAGTGCGTCTACATGTCCGGTGGGTACCTGACATGGTTGCCCCGAGTTGGAACCGCGTGTTCTGACGTGCCCTGGCCACCCAGGGGGGTATCTGTCATGATTGCCCCGAGCTGGAGCCGTGTGGTTCTACGTGTCCATGCCTCCCAGAAAGGTATCGAACAGGGTTTGCCGAGCTGGAACCACATTGTTTTGTTGCGTTGTCTGTTTGTTGTGTAGGGTTGCCTCGATGGCGGCCGCGACGTTAGATGCCCCTTTTGGGGGTATCTAACATAGTTGCCCCGAGCTGGAACCATATGTTTCTACGTGTCGAGACCACCAAAGGGGGGCACCGAACATGGCTCTCCCGAGCTGGAACCATGTGCTTTTACGGCCCTCCCGATGGTGGTGGGTGGGTGGTGGCGGGGGGGCGAACTTAGATACCCCATGGGGGGCACGAGCCCTGTGCGGGGACAGGACCGCACGTGCGCCGTTCCCCCCAGCCTCAGCGCCAGCTTATACCCCACAGCCTACAAGCCTGGCACCGTCGTGCTGCGCGAAGCCCTCTGGGCATCAGGGCTCCATCCGCAGAGGCCCCGCGGCCCCGAGCACCTCTCACAGAGGGGTTGGCAGATTTTACGCAGCACCAGGCGGACCTTCTTCCCCAGGACCTCACCACGCTTGAGGCCGTGGAGCAGTCGAACGGCATGGGGATGGCCCAGAAGGACTTCCGGGGGCAACAGTCCTTGCATGCGAGGTCGACCAGCATCTGGAGAATCGCAGTGGCAAACGCCGCCAGGAGCGAGTAACCACCCGGCCACCAGGCGCACTTTTGCAAGATGGTTTGTGTATAGTGTCCTCGGTGTCCAATTTGTTTCGGTGCCCCAGCGGAAGGCCAGCACCACATCCACTCCTCACACTCCTGATCTTTCAAAGGTCAGTCGTTTGTTTTTGTGTGTGTGTGCGGTTGGTTAACTTGCCACGTTCGGTTTGTTGGTCATTACTTGCTCCTGGCTCGTACCACTCATTGCGGATCACCTCAACACTTGGATCGACAACCCATCGCAAACCAATCGGACATCATCGGGACACGATCGGGAAACCGAGCGCAAAACCAGCGGAGCACCGACATCAATCGCGGCACCGCGACACCAGTGGGGCCTGACCTGGGACTCCACTTCACGTCACCGCACGCCCAGGAGAAGCAGGATGCATCATTGCTTCTTGCCCCAAGGTTCATGGACACTCATGCACGGCCGCGCGCGCACCACCCGGAAATGAAACATAATGCCATTTCTGTTCTTGATCGTATGTGGTTTTCAGAATCTGCCTCCCTAGTGTGTCAGCCCATGCCACCTCATTCAGTTGCCTGCGGCAAGTCCCGCCACCGTGCCAGCTTAGCATTCTGGGTGGCGACGGTTCCAGAGTGCACTGGAGGCAGTCACGTGTGAAATGTCGTGTCCCCCAGGCCTAGGAGAGTCGTGATGAGGATGATGATGTTGATGATGATGATGATGATGATGATGAGGAGGAGGAGGAGGAGGAGGAGGAGGACCAACAGTAGGATGAGGAGGGGAAAGGGGAAGGCCGTCACATATGCATATGACACGTTTCGTCTTCACTTCTTGGGGAGCTCTCACACAGCCCTTGTTGGCCGTCTTGTGCGCGAAGAGGGCAGGAGTCTTGAGCAAACCGTGCTCTACTCAAACAAAAAGAGGACCCAGCCCGAGGGAGGGCAGATGAAACATGTGGCGCGCGCAGCCGTTAACGCAGGTGTTTCCGGTGTTGGCCCGAAACAGAAAGTTTACGCACTGTATCGCAGTGCGCTGTGGAGGTGGAAGCTATGAGGTGAGAGCCATGGCGTGTACGATATGTGGTCTGAGCTATGGGTGTGGCAACTATGCGGTGGAAGCTATGTGGTGTAATAGATGTCACGGTGTGAACTGGAGGTGGACGCTATGGGGTGCACGCTACGTGATGCACGCGATGTCGTGCAAGCTATGCGGGGTAAGCTATGTGGTGTAAGCTGTGGTATGAAAGAGCACGGAACACCCAGCCACGAGGCGCCCACGAGGCGCCCACGAGGCGGCAAGGGCGGACACGCGGTGCAAACTTGGGAATGTCACCCAGCGCGCGGCGCGCCCACGAGCGCCCACGAGGCGGCACGGGCGGCAACGTGGCGCCACGTCGGGAGACCCACCCGGCGCACGGGGCGCCCACGCGGCGACGCGGGCGGCAACGCGGCAGCAGCTGGGAGCACCCGACCAAAAGCCGTGCGGGAACCTGGAAGTGCAGGCGCTGCTTTGGACATTTAACACTGTCATGCCCCAGAAGCACCGAACTAGCACAACCTGTATAGACAGAGATACACACGTAGGTATGTATTTCTATATCTATATCTCTCTCTATATATATAGAGAGATGGTCCAATGCACATCGCTGCCAAACAATACAGAGGAGATCAATGCAACCCAATACAAGTCAACGCAGAGGCTCTGATGCTGGTGCGCTGCTGCTGCTCGCCCGTGTGCTGCTGCGGGTGCGGTCGGTGCTCCTCGCGGTGCTGCCGCTGCCGGTGCTGCCGCTGCTCCTGCTGCTGACTCGTCTGCTCCCCTGCGGACGCGCCCTGCGGACGCACCCCACGGGCCCAACCTGCAGGCGGCCTCTACGGGCGCAGCCTGGGGGGCGCAGCCCACGTGCGCAGCCTGGGGGCGCCGCCCACGTGCGCAGCAGGTGGACGCAGCCTGCGGGAAGCAGCACGGCGAGGAGGCCTCTTAAGCGAGCAGCCAGGCCGCCTCCGCCGGCAGGCCGCGGGCGGGCTGGCGGCCGGACAGCCTCGCTGCGGGGGGCCCTGTTGGGGCCCTCTGTCCGCGGGGGCGCAGGGAGAGGACGTGAGGACCCCATCTGCTTGGCGGTGGAGCTGGTCTCGAGAAAGCAGATATCCCGAGGGCAGGGATGGCGTACAGAGCATGAGGTCTAAACGGAGGCAAGATGAGCAGTATGATGAGAAGGAGAGAGAGAGTGTGTGTAGAGTAGATTAACGTGCGGACGCAAGGGAGCGTAGAGAATCTATAGCAAGGATCTTGAGTACGCGAGTGGAGAGATATATCACAGGAACAGTTCATGTCATGCGCAAAGAACAAATGCCATAGAGACGTTTGCGATCGTACGGCGGAGTGTGGGAGTCGTTTCACACACCCCGCACTCTGCTCACGTTGTGGTCGCGCATCCTGTTATTTCTGCGCTGTTACGAAGCATCGCCCTGCGCTGTGCATGTGCTGAAGAGGTGCGACTGGTCGGTGTACTCCTCTGGTGCAGCTTGGCCTGGTGCGTCTGGACGGGTTACACGAGCGGCAGCTCTGGACACCAGGGCACCAGATGGCCAGCCGCCACGGGACACCGGGACGCAGGGCGGTCGCTCGCCGCAGGGACATTGCGGCACCGCAGCGGCCACCTATTCCGAGATAAGATGTTTACGGAGAGCGCAGCTGCGGACCCCAGCTTTTGATTATTCTCGGCGGCGAGCCTGCGGGCGAAGCGAGAAGGGGCGGGCCTTCTCGGAAGGCTTGGAAGTCCCCCGGCCTTCTGAGAAATTTTCTAAGCCTTCCCCGAAGACACAGAACACTTCTCAGAAGGCGAGAGGCCTTCTGAGAAGGCACGCCGCCTTTGAGAGGGCCTTCTCCTTCTTACTTCCCCTCTCGTTCGCCGTCGATACTCGCGTACCTGGTCTGCACGAGCGACGACATACGCATGAAGTTGGCACGGATACTGGGGTCATATTGTCACGCAGTCGTCACCCACCCTAAGAGGCGTGGATCATAGAAGGGGCAGTTGCGAGTCCCTGCACTTTGGTAACTCGCGGTTCTGCACCCATGACGGACCGCATGTGAATCTAACACGAAGTTTGAATGTCATATTTCCCGTCGGGGGGCCTTGGCGACCCTGCACAGGACCTTATCGAGATCATGAGCAAGTTCCGCTTCAAGGGGAAACGGCTGGATGTGAAAGTGGGTGCGTGCTCTGGCGGTGAGAAGGCACGCCTGGCAATCGTCAGGACATTGGGAACCTAACGTCGTGGTCCTGGGGTATTGTAGAGTTGTGGTCAGTGTCTGTGAAGATCATGTGAGTTCTTGTCGGCAGATAGTGGCATAGCACAGAAGATTGCTGTTGACGCATGCCCCAAGGATGATGCTGACGCCCTCTCAGCTGCTGGTCCTTGACGAGCCCACCAATCACCTCGACGTCACCATGAAGGAAACTCTCGAATATTCGCTTCGTGAGTTTCCTGGTGCCGCCGTGATCGTGTCTCACGACCGTTATTTCTTGAGCCAGACTTGCAGAAAGATACTCGAGGTCAAGAACGGCAAGGTCAGGATTCACGATGGAGACTTCAGGTAATTTTTTCCTCGCCGGAAGAATGCTGCTTCTCTCCGGCCGTGTTTTTTGCTTTCGGAGTGTTGCGCAGATCTGGCCAGCCTCAGGCAGATAAGGAAGTTGGGGGTGGGATTCTTGTCAATCGCGGCGCATGCGTGCTCAGGTTCACGCATGCGCTCTCGTGCTTGTGATCACTTCGGCGCAAATATGATTTACGGTGTCCGTTGTTGTGGATGTAGTCTGGTCCTCATTCGCACGCGCATTTGCATTCGCATCGGTTGTCGCGTTCGATGCCGTACGTGTGCTTGTGTCGGATGCCGTTCGTGCGATTCCCTGCTCATTCGTAGGCAAAGTCGTCTGCGAGTGTGCATCCGCAATTGCCATCTCATCACACACTAAGTCAAGATCGCTCGTGAATGAGCATTCGCCCTCCTCTTCGCAGTCGCTGCTGCCGTCGCAGTCGCTCTCGCGCTCGTTTCTCGCACGGGTCGGCCTGATGCCGCTCGGGCCTTTGGTCGGAAGATCGACCTGGCTCTGCCCTCTGCCTCCGCCTAAGCAGCGCGAAACCTGTCTCCGAGAATGCTTTCATCAGAGTTTCGCGCCTTCAGTGGCTTTGTTTACTCAGCAGCTCGTTTGCAAGGTTTTTGTGTATGTGCAGCTTGTTCGCAAGGTTGTTGCTCCGAGGCGGGAATTTATACATGACCACCGCCTGGAGGATCAATTTTTGGGGACCTCGGAGGCGGTGGATGTGGATATATTCGGGCCCCCGGGGGCCAAACTATATCCATATCCACCGCCCGCTGGGGCACCAGGACGTCGGTTCCTAGGCTATGGATGTGGATACATCCCCGACTCGCAAATGTGTATACCCCGTTGTCTCCCGTTGGCTCCCGCTGCCTCTGCTGTATCCCTTGCCTCCTGTTGCCCCCGTTGTGTGCTGTTGTCTTCGTATCCCCAGCTCTCTATCCCTATCCCTTGAATGTCTATTTTGTCTTCCCATCCCGATCCCCGTCCTCGCCCCTCTTCAAGTCTCGTGGGTTTTGGCATCCGTTTCAGCATGAGCTCCCCAAACAGCTTGCCTGAACGTGTTATGTATGATACATCTGTACCTGGCATCGCTCGGACGTGTGCATTTTTTCTTGGCGAGGGCCATCGAGGAGCATACGGGGCCATTTAGCGCAACAAAAACACGCACGACACCGAGCAATGCACGGGGAATGGACGTTCGAGCGATGGCCCGCTGTAAGTACACGACTCCGGAAGAGCCGCGTGCGGGGGCATTTGGATCCGACATTGGTCGGGCGCCTTGGTCTCCCCTGAGTTATCGTGGATGGTCTCCCGTCTGGTCTCGAAGGATTGCAAAAAAACCCAGGATTGCAAAAAAACCCAGGATTGCAAAAAAAACAGTTTTTTTTGCAATCCTTCGTTCAAGGGTTTTTTTGCAATCCTGTGTTGTCTCCCGCCTGGTCTCCGGGACTGTCTCGCGTACGGTCTCCGGTGTGGTCTCCCGTGGTCTTCCGCACGGTTTTCCGCACGGTCTCGCGCGTGTGGTTTCCCGCACGGTTTTTTCCGTGCGGTCTCTCTTACGGTCTCCAGTCTGGTCTCCTGTATGGTCCCCATCACCCTTGTCTTCCGTATGTGTAGCATGTGCTTTGTGTTAGGGTTGTTCGATATTTCTGCTGTCCAGGGCCATCTTCCGCGAGCTTCGCATATCCCACCAGCCCGTTCAGAAACCCTGCCTATGAGAGCTCATGGGAAAAAGGGAGGAGGAGGAGGAAGAGGAGGAGGAGGAGGAGGAGGAGGAGGAGGAGGAGGAGGAGGAGGAGGCGGCAAACCGCCTCGTAGGGTCAACGCGGAACGCTATTGTGGCGTTTTTTGAGCGGTCTTGGGGTCGTCTTGGGGGCCCTCTTGGGAGCCCTGGAGGGCCTCGTGAGGCCATCTTGAAGGCCCTCGATCAAAGTAACTTGGCATCGCTCGGACTTGTGCATTTTTTCTTCGGCGAGGACCATCGAGGAGCATCCTTGATCATTTGGCGAAGAAACCACGCACGAAACCGAAAAAAAACACAGGAAGTAGACGTCCGAGCGATGGCCAGGTAAGGGGTGTCCTCGATGTGCCTCCCCCCCCCCTTGGGGCCATCAGCGTCGTTTCCTGGGACGCTCTGACGCTCGTGGGCCGGTCCTGGGCGCCCTGGGGGCCGTTGGGGGGGGCCCTCCCGGGCCATCCTGGGGCAGTCCGGACGCCTCAGCATCGCATCGGAGGCGAAACGGCGAGAAGGCACACATCGATGATTTTACTCCTTGGCATCGCTCGGACGTGTGCATGTTTCCTGCGGCGAGGACCATCGAGGAGCATCCTTGGTCATTTGGCGAAAAAGCCACGCACGAACCCGAACAAAAACACAGGGAATGGACGTCCGAGCCATGGCCAGACTCGGGAGTTTGACGGATGTTGGCCGTCCTGAGGGGGGTCCGAGAGCATCAGGAACCGTCCTGAAGCGGAATCCTGGGCCTCCCAGAGCACACTGAGGCCGTATGGGGCCACCTTCTCTTCTCTTGAGCCATCCTGGTCCTGGAGGCCATGCCTTTTGGGAGCTATCGTGGGCCACCCTGGGCGCTCTGACCCCTCCGTGCTCCCCCCCGTCCGGGCCCCTGCCTGGGAGGGGAAGGGGGGGAGGGTGCGCCTCCCCGAGTGGAAGACTGCTTGGGAGGAGGAGTCGCACGGGCGCCCGCCGAAAGTTTCTGCCATGCGCCCGGCAGTCGCCGCTTCCCTGCGCCTCCCCGCGGTGGCCCAGCGGGTCCAGCGGAGCGCGAGCACGCGCGAAGCCAACCGGAGTTCGCTCGCCTTGCCTGGGGGTTGTTCGACGTGCGGTTGTCGTTCCTGTCCTGCGCCCTTGGGTGCAGGTGTCCCGCGGGTGCGGGCACGCGCAAATCCAACTTGACCTCGCCCTCCTTTGAGGCTGCCAGTCGTACAGCCGTCGCCGTCTTCACGCTCCATGAGTGTCGGTGGAGTGCGGGCAGATGCGAAGACAAAGAGACGCTGCCTTCCCCCCGATCCAGTACTTGTGCAGTGGTCGCCATTGCCTTGCGCCCCTGTGCGGGCCTAGCGGGGTGCGCACGCACCCAAAAAGACCAATGAAAAAAAGCAGGAGGATTAGGAGGGGAGCTAATGTGCAAGCGTCGATACTTTCCTGCGCCTCCAGGATCCAGCGCAGCGCGGACAGACTTCACATTCCCTGGGTGCTGCCAGGTTTCTAACTTTCACCGCTTCTATGTGCCCCAGGGGGGTCTAACTGAGCGAGAGCTTGGATTGAAACGACTCTGTTTGGGATGTTGCTAGTTGTCTTGGTCGGCTTGGGTACTTGATTGGGTAATTGATTACGTCACCCTTGGGACCCAGATATTGAGTTTCATTGTCCTGGGGTACCACTCTCACCATTTGGAGATTATCGAAGGCTCGGCAGCGCCGCGTGCTTTTCCAGTGTACAGGGCATGCGGCTCAGATCATCGATTGGCATTTATCTCCAGGTCGTACATGGAATCCGACCGCGAGCTCCGCAAGAAGATCGAGCGCCGCTACTCCGGGGCCAGCGCGGGCATATTGCCCGTGCCAATGAGCGGAGAAGAGGCAAAGGCTGAATCTCGAGGAGGCTTGAAAAAGTACGCCTATAAAAGAAGGATTGCAGCTCAAATCGCGGCGCGCAACCAGCCCGTCATCCTATCGAGGTAGCCGCAGTATTTTTGCTGACCTAGTGCTTGTCTCATGAGCGGGCTGGGCGTAGGCGGATACAGGGCAGGCCGAATTGATAGACCACTGGGCCACCTGTCCGATCCACGTAGAGAGCAGAAGAACACACGTGTGTGCGGAGCATCTATGTCGTGTTTGGTGGGTGTTGAGGTCGCGTGATTCAGTATTTCCTGGAGGTTACGAACAACAGTAAGCGTGCTGGACAATCAGGGCCCCACTGGCACCCTCAGCCCATCGTGCTGGACACCCTGTTGATGGGCCCGTTTTCCATTACCACCACCATAAGTTGGAGGGGGAGGGGTCCTCCTCCTCCTCCTCCTCCTCCTCCTCCTTCCTCCCTCCAACTTCTGGTGATGGTGGTGGTGGACAGCAGGCCCACCACCTGGTGTGGAGACTGGCTCTAATCGTATGACGGCAGGGAGGTGAAACCCGTGGTCTTGGCATCGCTCGGACGTGTGTATTTTTCCTTCCCATCGAGAAGAATCCTTGATCATTTGGCGAAAAAACCACGCACGAAACCGAAACAAACACAGGGAATGGACGTCCGAGCGATGGCCAGCGGTTCCCCTCTCAGTTTTCTATTGGCTCCGAGGGGGCCGGTGGCCGAGGGCCTCGCACGTGCGGGCTCCCGAGAGAGTCCGCGCTCGGGGCGCGACGCGTCGCACGCGCGGCACGGTTTCGGACAGGGAGGCGCTGCCGACGGGGGCCCCCATGAGTCAAGACGCTTCGTACTCTCCGCCCCTGGCATCGCTGGGACGTGTGCATTTTTTTCTCGGCGAAGACCATCGAGGAGCATCCTTGACCACTTGCCGAAAAAAACACGCACGAAACCGAACAAAAACACAGGGAATGGACGTCCGAGCGATGGCGAGTGCCCGCCCCCCCAGTTCTCGCTTGGTGTGTCGGAAACGGCCGACGGCAACACGGTGGAGGCACTCGCCAAGAGCATCCTGCTTGCCTCCAGGGCGCCCTGGGCTTCTTGGGTTTCGATGGGCAGCGTGGCGCTCCCACACCAAAAGTCAATGGACGTCCTCGGGTCTCAGGGTCGGGTTTCTTTCGGAAGGTTTCTTGTGGACTGGCCTCCACTGTATTCAGCGGCTGGAGGAAGTGCCCCCCGACGGCGCGAGGACCGACACAAAGTGGACCCAAGAGGGCTTGGGGACAGCCAGAAGGAAGCCGACGAGGGCCCAAGGAGCTTTCAAGGCAGGAGATGGAGCTGTCGACGGTGGTTTCCCAATCAGTGCTTGCACTGAAGGGGTCCTAGCATAAATTGAAAGATTTGGCGAACAGGTCCCGCCGATGTTGGTGGCAGGCTGGGCTCCCGGGTTCCCAGTGCCGGTTTCCCGGGTTCCTGGTCATTGGCCCCGGGCCGATGTCGGTGGGTTCCAGGTTCCTGGGTTCCCTGGTCGATCTCCTCATTGATCTCTTGATCGATCCCGATTCGAACCCATTCACCGAATGGGGCTTCTCCCCTGGCGCAGCGCATGGTGGGCGCGCACCTCGTGCTTCGTGCTGGGCAGAATCTGCCCGAGAGCCCCGCCTCAACAGGGCCCCGAAGGGGGCGACGACGGCCCCGAGGCAGCCCTGCGCGCTCCCGGGCGGCCCGGACCCCCGCCCCCCTGTCGCTCCTCCCCCACCGTCGGGCCCGCCTGCTGCTCCTCCTCCTCCTCCTCGTCTTCCTCCTCCTCCTCGTCTTCCTCCTCCTCCTCGTCTTCCTCCTCCTCCTCCTCGTCTTCCTCCTCCTCCTCCTCCTCCTCCTCCTCCTCGTCTTCCTCCTCCTTCTCCTCCTCCTGGTCCTCCTCGTCTTCCTCCTCCTCCTCCTCCTCCTCCTCCTCCTCCTCCTTGTCCTAGTTACCCCTCCCTAGTCGTTGGGCCCGCTTGGGCCTCGCTCTGAAGGCGGAGGTGGGCCCATGATTGTAGAACATTGGTCCCGGAGCTCGTCTAAAAACGGTGGCGAAAGCTGCATGCTGAGAAGCGTTCCAGAGGAGCACGAGATGAGCTAGAAGAGGCGTCCGGGCGACCCCCGAGAGGCTGCAATCATCAAACACCATAAGGTGTTGTCGTTTTGAAGGTGCCAGGTTGCTTGCGAAGTTGGGCCCAAGAGGCACTTTGGAGGGCCACAGGCTTCCGGTTTGGAGACTAAGAAGGGGCCCAGACTGGGCCAAAATGGAGCCGAGATGCGGCCCCTACAAGGGGATGGGATGCGGAGGCCCCTGGGGGGGAGGGACGGGGGGGCAAACGCCTTGTAAGGAGCCCTCACAGTAAGCACCACACGCCCATCAGCCCGGTGGGCGGACGGATTCAAGTTGCTTGCGCTATTCCGCCGACCCCCCAGGTTGGGCCTCCTGGGGGCGCCTCGGGAGCTTCTGGGGCATCTTGGAGCCATCTTGGGGGGATCAGTCCGTATTCGCCCTCCACGGTGCCTTTCAGGGCTGTCGTGGTGCTCTTTTTGGGCCGTCTTGGGAGCCCCGGGGCCTTCTTGTGGCCTTTTGGGCCGTCTTGGGGCCCTCTTGAGGGCCTCATGGGCCGTCTTGGGATGATCTTTGGGGCCCCCTTGGGCCGTCTTGGACGCTGTCAAGACGAAAGATGCTGATATGCTAACGTGCACGTTTCCCGAATGGGACGGGACAATGTTTGCCTCTTGGGGCCCCTTCGGCTGTGGCCCTCTTCGGAGCATGGGGGGCCGCCTTCAAAGCCATCTTGGACCGTTGTGGAGCTACCCGGGGCTGGCTCTACGCTCTGTTCAGGCCTTCGTGGGCCGTCTTGCCCTCCGAGGGTTCCAGACGCCCCAGGAGAAGCGGTGGCGGGCTCGTGGGCACGATGGGGGGGGCTCAAACGGCACGCTGGACCCCAGGAGAGGGACAAAAGGGGGTGGGTGACATCTTGCTCGGACAGCCCACCCATGCCTGTGATCTGGACCCCCCCCCCCAAAAAGACCTATAGGAGGGGTCAGTACGTCGGCATCTGACGGTCTCCACCTCCGCTCCTGCCCGTCCACCCCCGTTCGCCGCCACCTCCATCGCGACGGCGACGAGGACGACGAAGACGACGCTAACGCCTGAGATGACGACGACGACGACGACGACGACGACGCAAGACGCACGACGCACGACGCACGACGGGAAAGGTGGTGGGTGACAGCTGATTTTTTCACACGCCTCGCCACTCCCGGCAAGCGGGCGTCGGCGGACGCCTGTGCTGTGCAGGTTCCCGCTCGCTCTATAGCAACTCCTGTAGCCGGGTGGCTCGGGTTCCCCGGCGGCTTCCCCGGGGGGCTCCCGAGGGGGTGCCCCTGGCGGTTGTGGTTTTGTTTCGTTTGGGTGTTTATGTTATGGTTGGTTGGCGATGCCACACTAGGGCACGCGTTGTTAAAATGAGCAGTGGCATGCGATAGTTCCATGATGTATGCAGTTCGCTGGCCCATTGTTCGGCTATGCGATGTCTTGTCATGCCACGCATGCGGATGGTGTGCGATTGTATGACACACCATGCCAGCTCAGTATATGCTGCGCGAGCTCGGCATATGTCACACTGTACTGTGCGACCCACTCCAAGTGAATCGGAGGTTGGGGGGTCAGACCGACATGAAATGAAGTCCCCCAGCCCGGAATTCGGTTTCGACTTCGGTGCGTGTCGTGCGTAGCGCGCTTGAGGGCGAGGCTAGGCGAAGTTGTGCGAGTTCCTGCTTCAGGTAGACCCTGGTGAGGACATACTGTGTCCACCCCCACGCCCTTGCGGCCAGGACGTTCTCAAGGGGCAAAGGAGTACTCCGCGGTTATTATCCTGTGGTTGTCCCTCGGTTGTCTTATGGTTGTCGTGTCGTGTGGCTCTCATGCGGTTGTCCTGTGCTTGTCCACCCGTTGTCCCAATAGTTCTCCCGCGGCTGTTTTGTGGTGGTCCCGGGGTCGTTGTCCCACGGTTGTCGCGTTGTTTTCCCGCGGTTGTCTCATGGTTGTCGTGTGGTTGTCCTTTGGTGGTCCAGCGGTCGTCTTGGTGTTTGTCCCGCGGCTGAACTGTCCCGTGCTTGTCTTGTGGTTGCCCCGACGGTAGTAGGATCGCGGTGCCGATCGGGTAGTTGTCTTGTTGCTGTCCCCTGGTTGTCTCACAGATAGGTTGACAGTGAGATGGTTGGTCGATACCTGTTCCGATGGTTGTCCCATGGTCGTCCGGTGGTTGTTCCGTGATGTTCTCGTGGTTGTTTGGCAATTGTCCCTTGACAGTTCTGTGGTTTTCCTGTGGTTGCTTGTGATTGTCCAGTGGTTTTCCCCTGGTTGTCATGTGGCTGTCCCGTTGGAGTTTGGGGGTGTGGGACCTTTGTGAAACGGATGCCCCCGACAGGGGAATCGATCTCGATTTCGGATCGTGTCGCGCGTGACGAAGCTGCTAATTCTTGCGCTAGCTAGTGCTAGGCCAAAATGAGTCGTCGGCCTCGGTCCATCGGGGCGTGCCTGGGGTGTACTTGTGATTGTCTCGTGGTTGTCCCGTGGTTGTCCTGCAGATGTTCATTGGGTTGTGGTTGTCCCATGGTTGTCCTTGTGGTTGTTTCGTGGTTGTTCCGTGGTTGACCTGCGGTTGTACAGGTTGCCCGTGGTGGTCCCTTGGTTGTCCAGGTTGTCCCATGGTTGTCCCTGTGGTTGTTCCATTGTTGTTCTGTGGTTGTCCCATGGATGATTTGTCTTGCGGCTGTTTTGCGTGTAGATAGATAGTGGAATCGATAGATACATAATTACGGTGGGGGCGCTGGTTAAGGAACGTGCACGGGAGGCTTCAGACCCTGGAGGGTTCCTTATCCAATGAGGGCGGCGGTGACATCCATGGCCAAGCCTCAATCGGAGTTCCACCAGCCTCCAGACCCTGGATTCCTCATCGAAGATTTCCTTATCCAATGCCCCCACCGTTCCGTAGCCATTTTGGCTCAAGGCAATGAACCGTCCCGACGACCGCGAGTCTTTCGGGGCGAATTCTGAGCGCGAGGGAGGTTC